CTTGTTAAGAGCTCAGACAGGGCCTTCTTTGTCTCTCTACCCTTCTGTCTTTAGTAAAAGGCCTGACGTGCAGTGGGTCGACTGTGATATTGGCAGTGCATGGTAAAGATGAGGTGCTCAATTAATACCTATTTCAATGGGATATGGGATGTGGCAGAACCACTTTGAAATAGCCCTATCCCCAGCTCTCAGACCAACCCCGCTAGAAAATCTGCAAGCACATTTTTGTTCTGCTTAATCTGCTGGGCTCTTGGTAGTGTGCAAGTCATTTCTTGTTATCAGTGGAGTAGAAGTTTTCCTGGTTAGGCTGTTACCCACTCATTTATTCATTCAGTAACATTTATTTATACAGTACTTATTCTCTCAAGGCTGGGTGGGAGGCAATGGGAATGCATCAGTAATTGAAACAGACAATATCCCTGTGCTTATGGCGCAAATGATCTGTTGAGAGAGGCAGACTTCAACTAGAAATTTCATTTACCTCAACACTATGACATGCTTATTATTATTGAATATTATTAATGTTGAACATGTGTTCAATACTAACGCATTGAACCCTCACGATAACCTTATGAGGTAGGCACTAATTTAATCAACATTTTAGAGATGGGGACAGTGAAACAGCTCACAGAATGGTGAAGCAACTCACTCATGGTCACACAGGTAGTATGTAAGCCGGCATTTGCACCCAGGCCTCCCAATTACAAGAGGAATAAGAATTATAGAAGTGGAAGTACACTGGGCCCTGGGGACTTATAGTAGGAACATCTAACGGAGTTGAAGGATCAGGGAAGGCCTCCCTGAGTATTAGCTGATTTGTCACATGATCATGTTTTGTGGTTATCAAATGTTTGCCAGCATTTACTGTAAGCCAAGCCCCGTGGCTGGCCCCTTGAGGGATGTATGGATGTAGAGGGTATTGTCCACAGAGCACTCGGGGTCCTAGGCATGCCAGTTTCTGCTGTTCTAGTTCTCTCCTAGCTTCTGGAAAAAGGTTACCAGGCACCTGCTCACAGCCCTACCGCTTCCCAGAGTGGGCAGGATCCAGTTGGGCAGTTATCATTTCCTAGTTCATCAGCAAGGATTGGCACTAGTCTTGCAACCCCAGGTCTGAGGGTGACACTCTGGGCTGAGGCCCATCCCTGGGGAGGCGTTTCTTATTGAGGCCAGGTCGGCCTCTGGCTTCTTGCCAACTGGAATACCTTCCTCCCGCAGGGTCCTGGTACCTGGTGGGGCACTCGTGCCCTGTGTCCCTATTGGTTGTTTGAGACCTGCTTCCTTCCCTTTCTGTTCACCCTATTTCTGCCTCATCGCCAGTCACTTTCCTGGGCTGCAACCTGTTTTGCCATGCTCTGCATCCACCTTGGACTTGGAGCTTGCATACCAAGTTCCTCCGGGCTGAACTTACTGGAGTTGGGCAGCATTTGACAGTCTTCTTTGGATGGGATCTCCTATTAGCTCTATAAGGGCTGTGCTGCTCATTTTCTGTTCACTCCCATCCCCACCCCAGAGATCTGAGCTGCACTTCTCCACCCTGCTGGGAGCCCTGCGAGGCTAACCTCATGGACTGCATACTTAGATTCCTGGAGGGGAAAAGGTATTGACCCCAGATAGTTCTAGTAAGGAAACCTTACTCATAGGGCTTTTAGAGGTGTGGGCAGGGTTGTGGAAACAAATAAGGCAGGTGAGGCACCCAGACACTAGCAAAAATGAGAAGCAGTTACCACCTCTATGGCTATGAGGGCAAGGGGGAGCAGTTGCACTCACAGAGCCCCGTGGGGGCTGGAACCATGGAACAAGAGCTACCTGGGAGGAACTGGGGTCTTGGAGGGATGCAGCCATTGCCAGAAAAGGCCTTCTACCCCAGGGGAGGAGTTGGGAAGAGGTACTCCAGCCACTTTCCCCTCCCAACTGATAAGAAAGTCCATGGGGTTAGTGGGTAGAGGGTATTGTTCACAGAGCACATGTATAGAGTACAGAGTATAGAGTAGGGCTGAAAAGGACAGGTCAGATCTCTGGGGTGGGGATTCGGGTAAATGCAGAATAGCACCGCCTTTCTTCAGGTTTCCCTTCAGTAGCCCAT